CCATTTAAGCCTCTTTTAGAAAACAATGCCGCCAATTTGTCGAAATGCCGAGCCGGCATCAGGGAGCCTTAGCTCATTAATAAGTGGTCAGACCATGGCTACAACCTGGCACTATCGTGTGTCCTTTTTACAAAAGATTACACAATGGCGGTAATGGGGTATCAATGCGGTCTCTGTGCTGTAGCGGACTTCTGTTTATCTTGGACATGACTTGCTTTTTATTGCGATCGAAGCCCCGCTCATTAAGTTTTTTTAACCAGTCGCCCATAAAGGTGTCTGCCCTCCACAGTCCCTGTGCCATCCCTGATGATCTGACCTCCAGCTTAAATGGAGAGAAGCTCCTAGAGCTCTGCATTACTTTAGTTTATCATCTCAGCTAATTCTCTTTACAAAAGTGAAACTTACGGTCCGTGTTTACCTTCATTTTCAATATAGTTGCTTGCCAGAGCTCGGCAGTAACTCCCCACGTGGTCATGACGCCTCTCTCTGATGCGCCAAGGCGTAATATGCATTCACAAGTCCGGGACTGCGGTAATATTACGACCAAGCGACACAAATGCATCAAAATTCCCGCTACGCCATGCCGCCGCGGCACGTTCATGAGACACACTGTGGCGGCAGTATTACGCTGATTTGCCAGCATGGTGTGCCTTCTAAAAAGGGCTTCTGACTCTGATCAAGATACATTCATCACTAAAATGTTAGTTTCTTTAAGCATTATGAGGTAAAACATCAGTCAGTGACCTCTAGCCCTTTTTAAAATTCTAGACAGTAAAGAGTTTCTACCCATTCACATACAAATTACCTAGACATAACCTGAATGTTAATGCTTTAAACAGCTGAAAGCTGAAATTAGGAATTTCATTACGTCATCTTTTTAAGGGAAAAAAAAACCCCATCAGTTTGTGTATTTATTTATTTATTTATTACAGAAAACAAGCAAACCTCATGCGGCGACAAAATAAATCTGCTAACAAAATTTACAAGCTCAATTAAAGCTCAGCATATTCATGTTGTGGTGATGTGGAACTTGGGAAAATGCAAAAAGATGTGTGAACCTGAGAGCGGAACTGCCACCTCATCTCGACAACACGGCATCTCTGCAGCGTCTAAATGAAAGCAATGCAGTTGTGATGGATCTGAGTTGTGTTGATGACCTGAAGTTGGAGCCTCTCCAGTTTATTGTAAATGTAAAGGATTTGTCTGTTGCCTAATGGCGTGATGGTTGTATAACGATAGAAGAATTGAATCCCAATGTCATCTACAGTGTAAGAACATATCAGGAGCATGAGTGTGTTTCAATGGACAAATAGAAACAATGTAAAGCACTTTGTAGACCCTCTATAATGTCAAAAAGATGTTATAAAAGGAATAATTAATTTTCTTTTTTTCCACAAACCATAATTTTACTGAAGCATCTGTTAGATAGGAATTGTGAAATGCATGAATGAGTCAAGGAACTAGATTACATGTTTACCATGTTTTACGGTACAAGCAACTCAAATTTTTCAAAACCACACCGAGAGTCTTTGTGGGTATCTTTGACTCGGTGAACCATAGGAAATCTTTTGCAGTAAATCTCCCACTTGACCTCAAGGATGTCTGTGGTTTTCCACTGTCGCACCAGTCATCTAAGGCAAGATGGGGGTGGAGAGAGGTTAAATTTGCAAATGCTGGTGTCGCTGCTCTGAGCTTTTGTGTCACAACTTACCTAACAAAAATCGTCCTGCAAGAAAACTTTTCAAAACGAGGAAAAATAGAGCAGGTTATGACAGAGCAAGCTTTCTGTGCTGGAAGAGAATACCATTATTACAGTCGCCTTCTAATGTCAGAGTTACCAGATTTGGATTGTGTAGGACCATGTGTCAGGGCTGCTGCTGCTGCTGAGGCTGAAATGAAGCGGTGCCTGGGTCAGCAACCCTGCACTCAGCACTCTGACATGCATCCAGGTGGAACAAAGTCCTCGCTCGGTGTCTCATCCCAGGCTTCCTGCTGAAAGGTGACATCTCCACAGCTTAATGGCTTCATTCATCTGCTAAAGAGCATACAATTTGTTAATCGTTTCCCCTCATGGCTGCCCATACTTTCCAGTTGGTTAGGTCAACAAACAAATTTTCAAGCGGGCGAAAAAACAAGTACGCAGCTCTGCTCGTTTTTTTCAGGGCACCCCTCTGAAAACACCCGTGTTGGTTCTTGGTAGAATTATCAGAAGGAAAAATGGTTAGCCACATCAGTGAAATGAATAGAAAATTACACAAGGACAAGGACTCTTCCATGTCTAAAGGAGACTTAATGGTCTGTTGCAATTACCTGTAGTGTGGAAGATTTTAAATTCATTTATCACAGCGGGGTTGACCCCACAGCCTGGTTGGTTACATACACTGCAACATTTAGGATTATACCGTGTTATACCAGTCAAAATGAGGGTATAGCTGCAAGCGGTGACCAATTAAAGTTGAACAAAGCCAGCTCATCTGCTCAGCTTCTCTCTTAGTAGGTCATTGAATCTGAAAGAGCATTCAGACCCACACTCGTCTCCACAGTTCTACAGCACAGCCTTTTCATGCAGGAATCCTCACAAAAAGACATTTCTAACTTTACTAAATACATTCAAATTGTTTTTGCTAACAGCTGTTGCAAAAAAAAAGCAACAATAGTTCAATCCTCCATTTTTGTAAATTGTGTTTTTGCTCTGAGAAGTGAATGCAGCATTACTGTAAAGATGTGCTGCAACATAATGACAAATGTGAACAGGTCTGAGGCAACCAGACAGAGCTGCACTGATACAGGACAGTAAGCCACTTTGCAGGGAGGGGTTGCGTTACCACTGGAGTGATGTATGACCCAAAGTCCCATCTGAGGGTTCTTGTTACACGGCTTCATGCTGCTCTACAGTGATGGCTTTCCGTACATGGAATCAGGGGCTACAGTAATGTATGGGCCCCTGATGCTGCCAAAGCTCTGACTCAGCTTGCTGATATTGCCTCCTACCTTGACCTCTGGTCTGATAACTAGACATTTCAGACACGCAGTGTGTTATTACTACACTGCACTAAAAGGTGGAGAGACTTATGTTTTTATCATCTCATTTACAAAAGCATTGCTGTCATAAATTTGGCCACACATCCGTTATATTTAGTTCCTTGTTTTAAAGCATTTTCGTTGTTTTCCAGCTCTTTGTCATCTGCCATGTTCTGTTTGTGATTTAATCATGATTATGGTCCTTTATTCATGAAAAAGTAAGAAAAATAAATGCAAATTATGCATCAAAACATGGTTTAGTCAAAAACTGTGTTTTTTTTACTCTTGGTAGCGATACATTGTGTGATATAGACCAAATATGCACCAGAAGAACATCATTCAATAGTTTAACAGGCCACAGAAATTAAGCTTTGAATGACTGATCTGGTATTTTGATCTCTTTTACAAGTATGTTTCTCTTTTACATTTTCCTACTATCACAGTTTAAGTTTTATGATCAGCTCTCAACGTTTAAAGAGACAATGTAGTTTTTAGCTTTAATCTCTGGAACTATCCATCAACATGTTGTCGAAAATGAATTAAATGATGTCCAGTTGAAAAATACTGGCAGCTTCGAAACATATATCTATAAAAACTGGGTCTAAAATTCATGGGAGCGGGTCTAAGTCTCTGGGCGATGCTATATTAGATGCACTGTTTCCTTTTACGGGAGTCCGTGAGGACAGAACACATTTACTAATTAGTAACAAGTGGTTACAAACTTTTCGTCATTCATAAACAATGTTGTTTTACACATTTACCTCTTCACTCGTTGCCAGTGATGTGCTTGTCATTTTGCTGGAGGTTTGAACAATCTCACAATGTACTCATTTGACAATTGCACTCCCAGAGTTTTTTGACCCTAATGGCCATCCGTCTTACTGGAACACAAAAATACAGCTTGCTTGCAGTGATTTAGGTATGTACTGCCCCTTATCGCCAGGGAAAATACACACCATCACTTTAAACTGTTGATGCGTTTGAGCTGATTTGAAACAAACTCCTCCAACTCCCTCCACCCTTTCTAATATACATCCAAACATACTTGTCCTCCATCACCTACTGTATCGTTCACTGCTTCTGAACTTGTGTTCACACTCAAGCATCTGTGAACTTAAGTTATTTAGAACAAAATATTTGCTTTGTAACAGGAAGTGAAGGCTCCTTTTAACTTTTCCTTGTCCTAACATGCCCTATCTCCTGCATAAAGCACTGCAGAAAGAGTAAAGTTCACATGTGACCATCAGAAGATTGTGCTGCTCTTAATTTGGGATATTTTTCCCTATAAAACATTTATTTTTTTAAGCAATTGTTTGCCTCAGGCTTGCTGTTTAGTCTGCTTTCCTGCCTCCCCCTCATCGAGTTTGCTATCGGGGGAAGAGAAACAGTCATGTGGTTACTATGGTGACCTCGGTTGGCAATTGCCTTGAATGTTTCTTTTGATCTTGGTTTTGTCTTTCCACTTTTAATTGAGTTTATGCATTAAACTATTAGTATGTTGCTTTATCCTATAATTTTACAAAGTTGATGCTTTTATTTTTACTTTTGATGATTTTATTTACAGCCCGGTTTTTGATTTTGCCAGGATCACGCTCTGATCAGCTAACACATGTGCACAACACTCAGATGTGTGAACAGATCAAACCAGCGATAAAACAAAATAGCTCCTGCTCTGTTAGAAAACGGTCTCTTCTTTGCTTTATTTGGTAGATTTAGGATATTTTTACAATTACCTTCAAAGTCATCAGTTAAGTTGACTTGGACTGATTTTCATAATTGCTCTAAATCATCCCCACTCATTTTCTGTTGCCTGATATTGTCTCCTTTCTGTTATTAAAATCAAACTGAACATTTACACGTGCTCACATTTCACATACCTACACTTTTGCCTTTTTAATTTCTTTGACTTTGATCTCGAGGTTTAATTAGCCAGTTTCCTTTTCCGTGATGGATGGTTTTGTTTCTCGTCTCTTCTGCAGGTTACCTTCACAAAGAGGAAATTCGGCTTGATGAAAAAGGCCTATGAGCTGAGCGTACTGTGTGACTGTGAGATAGCCCTCATCATTTTCAACAGCTCTAACAAACTGTTCCAGTACGCCAGCACAGACATGGACAAAGTGTTGCTGAAATACACAGAGTACAACGAGCCCCATGAGAGCAGAACCAACTCTGACATTGTGGAGGTGAGTGAGCTTTGTTTTGCTTCTTTTATGATCTATTACTTACAAAAAACTGTTCAAACTTGTTAGATTTGAGCAGCATTAATTATTTTAGTGTTGGAATTTAACTGTGAAAAACATTTATTTCTGCAACAACTGCTAACTTTCTTTGTAAACATTGCAAGAGGAGATGCACAAGTCAGGGACAAGTAACTATTTCCTTGTCACCATGCAGATAGGGCACAGGATTTCTGCTCTCCCTGATAAGTTCAGCTTCTCTTGTGCGCACCAACTGACGTGAAACACCTATCTGCACAAGCATGCACAGAGTTGGTGCTGACCACCGGTGCTGACCGCCGGTGTTTCCCAGAGATATCCTACCTTTAGGGAACAGGACACACAGTTTGTGCAGCTGGATTTTCAGTTAAATTGCAGTTCATAGTACAGTCTATAAAGCACTTAGGGTTTGAGATGCTCCTGCGGGCCCAGCGGCGGCTGGTGGAGGAGAGCCACTTGTTTTGCCAGAGTACAAAATTGTCAGCCAAAAGTGTAAAAGCCAACGTAAATGAGGACGATTATGGATGCATCCTGTTCCAAACATCTTTCGCTGGCACGTGTGTGGTTTCTCGCCTCATTCAGGATCTGCTTCAAGGGGCCGGTGTCTTCATTCTGACTACATGAAAGCACACACAATGTATGTTAATGCCTATTGATAAAATCCTCACAGTAAGCTCGACATTACCATTAATCTTTATGGCGATTATTTCAAAATCCCATAGATTATAGAGCAAAACACTTTCTATTAGACCAAGCAAACTGCTCCATCCCTGCTTTTATTGCCACCTGCCCACTACACGTGTTTAGTTTTTACAGCTGCTGCACAATTAAGACCTTTAAGAGTTTAAGATGGGATTTAGACAAAAAACAAGAATCTTTGAAAAGACTTTCACTTGGAGGAATTAGTGAAATTGATTGCAGCATGTAGGAGTCAGCTGCAGCCCATTATCTTTTATTTATACTGCTTCTGCTTGTGAATTACCTGCTTGGCGGAGCTGCAGAACAGTGTTCTGGCATCCTTGTGCAATAACTCCTCCATCAGGGGCCCTCAAAGCAGAGCAGGGGCTTACCTGCATAAAAGATACATGTACGCTTTCCTTACATAACGGTGACCACAAACTTGTTTTTGCTGCAACTCTGAAAGCTTTCAAGGATTGCTGAAGACCGACATTGACGGTGGTGGAGTTATTTGCTGGATCATTCTTCAGGATCGTTCCTCAATTTTAATTATCATGTTTTCCTTAAAAAATGAAGTTAGTCTGATGAAATTGTTTTTTATTGCAAATGGGATTACTGTACATGTAAATATACATGAGTATTTAATTTGTTTTACTTCAAGAGTGTGTTGTCCCCAATTGGCAAAGTGAACTTCTTAACAAAGGCATTTCTGATTTTTAATTTGCGTTGTAGTGGGTTAGCCATACACTTTGGTGGTGTTTTAGTTGGTACACTTGGTACAGCACACCAAAATGGGAATTGCACCTCTGGAAAAAAACAAAAACACAACCAGAAACTATTTCTTATAACATACCTGCCAAGGCAACAAGCCTGTTGAGCATCGGAAGCTTAGCCCTCACCAGGGGAACAAATATGCAGCACAAACTCTGTGCCTCAATCTCACTTAACCTTTTTTGCCCTTTAAATTTGTCTTAGTGATCCAATTATAAACGAGTTAGCTCTCACCTCGAGCATTTTTACAAAGATTGGTATATTTTAAAGCTACAATGGCAAATATGCAAAATAAGCTAGCTTAAAACATTTTTTTTCATGCCGAAAAAACAAGAGACAGTCCAAGGCACTCTCAAATAGAAAATGTTAAAAAGCCTTTATTGTAATAGCTTGGTCACATATGGCCTTTTTAATACTCCAACGCGTTTCGGCGAATGTAGCCTTCGTCAGGGAGTCAAAAATGCCATTTAACAATGTTCTAACATAACATAGCTATACACATTTTATGGAGACAAAAAATGAAGTGGTTCTCTTGCATTTGTCTAAAAACCTCAGCCAATAAAACGGCTCGGTCCAAAACCAACGATTGGACCATCCAGTTGTCTGTCTCACTGGACCACTGCACATCCACACTTCCCTGGGTTGTCTATTCATTACACACTTGTATATTTAACAACAGAACACTGCTGGTGAGAGGTTCTTCGCAAAAATAATATCAGAGAAGGAGAAACAGCCAGCAGCCACCACTTCAACTTTAGGACAACTACCAGAGTCTCATTTGAAGTTGCGGAAAACAAAAGACATCTGGAAGTTTACCGTGGCAATATCGTGTTCTGGTATCAGGCAGACGTGGCCTAGCGATTTTCACTCGTGACAAAATGGCATGAGGGGATCAGTAAACTGTGTAAGGTAACCAGTGTGTTCCACAGAAACACAACACAGATAAAAAATGGTGGTGTTGCTGGACATTTTGCTCAGTTTTATGGTATTTTGTCAGACTCTGAATCAAGAAATGGCTGCAAGCAGTGACAGAAAGCAAAAAACTCCAGTGCAACCAGTGACTCCCCTAGCCAATCAGTGGCCAGAATCACAATGCCGGCCCAACTCAGCCTTGCCAGGTACCTTAAAGAAACATGGACTAAAAATGCGGGAGAAATTAGACGGAAAATACCGAACCATGCCCCTGGGAACAGTGGTCGGGCCGAGCTGCATCGGTCCGAGCTGCTCAGAGTAGTGTTCCTGGAAAACCACCTTATGTGACCAAATGCTTTTTCTTCACTCCGTTTTCTTTTTGTCCTTGGAGTAAAGAAAGAAGGCCAAAATCATCTAGCAAGGCTACATCCAGCTCATGCCAGTGTCAAAGGAATTTTTTTCAAACAAACACACTTGTTACTTGTCCAGTGTGTTTTTGCATGCAGCATGCTAAAGCTGCACTTTTAATCAGGAGTCATTTGCAATACATCTGGCTCTGCGTGTCAGCCATAGTAAAACATGGCAATCTAATGATCTTTCAACCCATCTGCAGAACTGGATATCAAAGACTTGGATTTCAGTGCCATGGGTTTGTGTTTAGGTGAGCAAATGGACAACATGGTACTTTACCAATTGACAAATATTCCCTGAAAAGAAGAAGTAACATTTTTAGCAAATTCCAGAAGGATTCCATTGTCTATCTGAACTATCTAAAAGAGGAAAAAGAATGCATTCTACTGTAGGATAATGACTAAAAGCATATCTAAATTAATTACCCAAAGATGCACCAGTTAAAAGCATTTGCTGTGACCACCAGTTCCAAGAAATATTACTGAAACTCTGCTGATAGACAACAAAAGAGTTGTGCATGTGGATTGCCATAAGTCACAGAGAAGTAAAAGTAAGAATACACAATGGTCTCAAACCTCTCCCTGGGCTCCCACCTTACTGTGGTGGAGGGGTTTGAGTGTCTCAATGATCATAGAAGCGAAGATGTCTGAGGTTTTCTGCCTCTGGTAGGGTCACCCATGGCAAACAGGTCCTAGGTGAGGGATCAGACAAAAAGCAGCCCGAAGACCTCTTATGATGAATTATATAAATGGAAACCGTGTTCATTTGCCCGGACGTGGGTAAGCGGGCCCCCCTCCTGGAGCCAGGCCTGGAGGTGGGGCACATTGGCGAGCGCCTGGTGGCTGGGCTTTCACCCATGGAGCCCGGCCCAGCACAGCCCGAAGAGGAAACATGGGTCCCCCTTCCCATGGGCTCACCACTCGTGGGAGGGGCCAAAGGGGTCGGGTGCAGTGTGTGACGGGTGGTAGTCGAGGGCGAGGACCTTGGCGGTCTGATCCTCGGCTACAGAAGCTGGCCCTTGGCACATGGAATGTCACCTCTATGGTGGGGAAGGAGTCTGAGTTGGTGTGTGAGGTTGAGAGGTTCCGACTAGATATTGTCGGACTCGCCTAAAGGCATGGCTCTGGCTCTGGAACCAGTTTCCTTGAGAGGGGTTGGACTTTTTACCACTCTGGAGTTGCTCCCACTGAGAGGCGCCGAGCAGGGGTGGACATACTAGTTGCCCCCCATCTTGGTTCCTGTACATTGTGGTTTACCCCAGTGAATGAGAGGGTAGCCTCCCTCCGCCTACATGTCGGGGGACAGGGTCTGACTGTGGTCTGTGCTTATGCAACAAACTACAGTTCAGACTACCCACCCTTTTTGGAGGCCTTGGAGGGGGTGCTGGAAAGCGCTCCTTCCGGTGACTCCCTCGTTCTGCTGGGGGACTTAAACGCTCACGTGGGCAACGACAGTGAGACCTGGAGAGGTGTGGTTGGGAGGAATGTCCCCCCGATTTGAATTCAAGTGGTGTTTTGTTATTGGACTTCTGTGCCAGTCATGGATTGTCCATAATGAACACCATGTTCAGACATAAAGGTGTCCAAATGTGCTCTTGGCACCAGGATACCTTAGGCCGCATCTCGATGATCGACTTTGTTTTTGTTTCATCTGACCTGCGGCTGCATGTCTTGGACACTCTGGTGAAGAGAGAGGTGGAGCTGTCAACTGACCACTACCTGGTGGTGAGTTGACTCAGATGGTGGGGGAGGATGCCGGTCAGACCAGGCAGCCCCAAACGTATTGCGAGGATCTGCTGGGAACGTCTGGCAGAGTCTCCTGTCAGAAGGAGCTTCAATTCCCACCTCTGACAGAACTTCCAAAATGTTCCGGGGGAGCTGGGGGACATTGAGTCTGAATGGACCCTGTTCCATGCCTCCATTGTTGAGGCGGCCGACCGGAGTTGTGGTTTCAGGATCGTCGGTGCCTGTTGTGGTGGCAACCCCCTATCCCGCTGGTGGACGCCGGCGGTTAGGGATGCTGTCAAGCTGAAGAAAGAGTCCCATCAGGTCTTTTTGGCCTGTGGGACTCCAGAGGCAGCTGACGGGTACGGCAGTCCAAGCAGAACACGGCTTGGGTGGTCGCCAAGGCAAAAACCCGGGAATGGGAAGAGTTTGGTGAGACCATGGAGCAAGACTTCCGTACGGCTTCGAGGA